TTCGGCGTTCGAGAGGGTTCCTCGAGCTGAAGGGATCCCCCCAAATTTGGTGCGGATCCACCATGCCGTTACGGAGATATGGCCGTTCAAAGTTTTAATGGTATTCTAAGCTTTAAAGCGTTTCATCCAGGTCGCCAGTAGCAAACAATAGAGCAATGGACAAACCACGTAATTACAGCATTTACAAGCATTTTATCTGCATTTTATGTTCTGTAAAAAAAAATTCATATCGGCGGCATATTTGCCGATACCGATATATATCTACGACAGGCTCATATCGGCCGATAAAATCGGCAAAACGATATATCGGTCGGGCTCTAATATATAACCATTAAAAAACTATGTAATAAATATTATGCCATCACTTTTTGTGAGCCACTGGAAAATTTGACTAGAAATTGTAACTACAGTCCTTATTGTTGTGTCATAAGAAGGTAAGTGATGAGTCACAGTGCAATAACATCAGAAACATGGCTTGAAAACCAGAAAAAAAAAACTTTTTCAGAGTTCAGGCAGTGCTTCTACAAGTTAACTAAGTTACATCCATGAAACAGCCTACGCTTTGAGAAAACTCAATAAACTGGAGCGACTGAATTCAAATAACACCACCTGTGAGACACGGCCCATTCCAGGAAACTAGTCCTCTGAGCCTTATAGTCTTACAACTAAAGACTCATAAACAATGACCAATTAACTTTACTGAACTCTCACAGCAGCACAAGAACATACCCACGAGTGCAATGCAAACATCATTTGATTCACAATAGCCTTGATGACTTAGATGAATACTGGAGCGCTTGACAAAGTCCGTGAATAGAAACGAGAGCTTTCAGAAATTCCTGATGAGCAGACAGGTGTCAGGTGAACGCTAGCGGTGTGACTCCATTGTGCCTCCCTGAAGCACAGCCCGACCCTGCACTGCCTCCATCACAACCACTGCAGTCACACACACAAACTTGTTATTTGTGCAAGTCTACATGTTTGAAAAAGCTTATGAAAACGAAATGTATCTAAAACCCCCTATTAGGTGATTGAAACCTCATAAAACTCCCTTACTGGGACGTCCCCAAAAGGGAAATGTTTAAAAATGGGTCAAATAATGTCCTGCTTAAAATGTAAAAAATAAAAATAAATAAATAAATAGTTAGTATTAAAAAAATAAGAACAATAAAAAATGAGCTAGTATTAAAAATTATAATTTTTAACCAATGGATTTGTATCTCTGTCTTTGGTTAGGGGATAATTCAAAATCATTAAAGGGTTAGTTCACCCCAAAATTAAAATTCTGTCATTAATTACTCACCCCGGCCGATAAAATCGGCAAAACGATATATCGGTCGGGCTCTAATATATAACCATTAAAAAACTATGTAATAAATATTATGCCATCACTTTTTGTGAGCCACTGGAAAATTTGACTAGAAATTGTAACTACAGTCCTTATTGTTGTGTCATAAGAAGGTAAGTGATGAGTCACAGTGCAATAACATCAGAAACATGGCTTGAAAACCAGAAAAAAAAAACTTTTTCAGAGTTCAGGCAGTGCTTCTACAAGTTAACTAAGTTACATCCATGAAACAGCCTACGCTTTGAGAAAACTCAATAAACTGGAGCGAGTGAATTCAAATAACACCACCTGTGAGACACGGCCCATTCCAGGAAACTAGTCCTCTGAGCCTTATAGTCTTACAACTAAAGACTCATAAACAATGACCAATTAACTTTACTGAACTCTCACAGCAGCACAAGAACATACCCACGAGTGCAATGCAAACATCATTTGATTCACAATAGCCTTGATGACTTAGATGAATACTGGAGCGCTTGACAAAGTCCGTGAATAGAAACGAGAGCTTTCAGAAATTCCTGATGAGCAGACAGGTGTCAGGTGAACGCTAGCGGTGTGACTCCATTGTGCCTCCCTGAAGCACAGCCCGACCCTGCACTGCCTCCATCACAACCACTGCAGTCACACACACAAACTTGTTATTTGTGCAAGTCTACATGTTTGAAAAAGCTTATGAAAACGAAATGTATCTAAAACCCCCTATTAGGTGATTGAAACCTCATAAAACTCCCTTACTGGGACGTCCCCAAAAGGGAAATGTTTAAAAATGGGTCAAATAATGTCCTGCTTAAAATGTAAAAAATAAAAATAAATAAATAAATAGTTAGTATTAAAAAAATAAGAACAATAAAAAATGAGCTAGTATTAAAAATTATAATTTTTAACCAATGGATTTGTATCTCTGTCTTTGGTTAGGGGATAATTCAAAATCATTAAAGGGTTAGTTCACCCCAAAATTAAAATTCTGTCATTAATTACTCACCCTCATGTCGTTCCAAACCTGTAAGTCCTTCGTTCATCTTCAGAACACAAATTAAGATATTTTTGATTAATTTGGAGAGTTCTCTGACCCTGCCATAGACAGCTACGCAACTGTAATATTCCCAGGTCCAGAAACGTAGTAAGGTAAGGATATCGGTAAAACAGTCCATGTGACATCAGTGGCTTAACTTCAACTTTGCGAAGCTTCGAGAATACTTTTTGTGTGCAAGTTGAGCCACTGATGTCACATGGACTGTTTTACCGATGTCCTTACTACGTTTCTGGACTTGGAAACATTACAGTTTCGTTGCGGTCTATGGAGGGTCAGAGAGCTCTCCGATTTCATCAGAAATATATTAATTTGTGTTCCGAAGATGAACAAAGATCTTACGGGTTTGAAACGACATGAGTCGTTACGGGTGAGTAATTAATGACAGAATTTTCATTTTTGGGTGAGCTATCCCTTTAAATATCAGACAGATATCTCTAATAAACCATTTGTGAGTCAGTCTAACCGATTATTTCAAAATTTGCTCAAAAGACTGATCACTATGTCTTGCAAACACCAGAGTAAATTTAGCTATTTAAATATTTTAGAGCAAAGAATTACTATAAAAATCATACTTTAAACGAGTTTCATAACTTTTTCGGGCTATGAAAACCTTGTTAAAATTCCCTGATATTTCCAGGTTCTCCATGGCCATATGAACCTGTATATTCAGGACAGTAGATGTGAATGGAAAGTCTTTCAGGACATGTATCCTACACAAGCTTGTGGGTGTGACATGCACATATCAAACAATGATTCATCTATGCAAAACATAAAGCCCTTTAACTCACAGCTATCAAAAAAGCACAACAGAGCCTGTTACAGCCACATGACTGCCAGAGATTTGTGATGGACTTACATATAGCAAGAAACTACTGGGTGACAATGATTCCACCGAGTCATGTTGGCTTCACCACATTAAAGCTCAACGAGCCTTTTTAAGGCCCCGATCAGACAGAACACGTTTTTTCAGGTTTGAAAACGTGAGGCACACCACACTACCTTTTTTTGCTTGACTTTTTTTTAAAGGGGTCCTATTATGCTCTTTTACAAAGTCTTCATTTTGTTTTGGGGGTGTACTAGAAAACTTTGTGTAATTTATTTATTTTATTTGACATCAAGGTGTATGCCGTGCCTCCAAGCTTTCTTACTCGTTTTGCTAATAAACGTTCTACGTTTCTTATTTATTTGGTTATATATTATACATGTTTACTTAGCCTATTTACAGTTTTGTATACCTCTTTAAACTTTATGTGAGTTATTTGTTATTTTATTTTAGGCATGCCTGCCCTATAGCATGGTTTTTTATTTGTTTTGTTAATAAAATTTCTATGTTTTATATATAGGCTAAAGTGAGTTTGACGTTGTATTTTGTTGTTGCATTCAAGCAATTGACGCTGAACTGCCGCTATTTAAAAGTTAAAGTAAAATGCACACGTCACTTTTGCAAGCTATTTAAAAGCAAAGGAAAGCAAGAAAAAGAGGAAACGCCCCCGCCCCCACGGTAATACCGGTATTACTGGTGTTGTCACACGTCGATTAACCGGCGGGAAAATTTCCTCACCGTCACAAGCCTAATTGTGACGTATATCCGAGTGAAACGGCTACTGAAATGAGAAAAAAGGCAGGGCAGGGCTTGATTTCGTCCTTCGGGAATTGATTTCACTATGTCCTGAAATTGGACTGATTGATTGAGTTTTAATAATAATAACAATTCCCATTACTGCAAATTTGAAATTAATGTTTATATTTTATTTAAATGGAAAAATATTTGATTGTATTGCCTCAAAATTATTTTGAAATTAATTGACAAATAAGAATAATAATAATAAAAAGAATCAAGAATCTAATTTAAATATTTTCAAATGTAAACATTCTGATGTTTTAGTAATAATAACTTGGGAGTAAATGTGCTTAATTCTCACGAAAGTAATCATCAATAAAAAATAACAAACAAATACCGTCAAACTACTTTTTTAGACATTTACCATGGCACAGTGTTCCATGTGGCCCGTTGGAGTATCATGCAGATATCACCATACACGAATTTAGTCATCATTTAGTACCACATTACATATTAAACTAAAATGCTATTACCACACGAAACAATTACACAACCATGGCAGAGTTTTTATAAGGACATGTTTTTATAAACACAAAAAGCATGACGTCACCGTCCAGAGAAGTGTCAGTGAAGTAGGATACGTAAATTGGCTTTTTGAACGAGGAAATGACTTAAACGGCTTAAGCAAAGCAAATGAATATCTTAGAGGTTTTGATCCCCCTATATGGCATAATACAACTCCCAAGGACACTAGGACTATAACTTCATCTGTCTGTCTGTCTGTGTGCAGTGCCGCCAACTTCCCCATTTTGCGCTCCGCTCTCACTTACGCCCATTTCATTTCAATGAATGACGGCGAGCGGCCGCTTACGTTAACTGCGTAACTCCCGTTTGTGAATAACAACCTAACCGAGTCAATCGATCGAGCAGCGAGTACAAAAACGCAGCTGGGAAGTAACAAATGAGACGTTTGTCTTCTTATTAAGTTAGATAAGCATATCTAGCGAGATGCGCTTTTTGCAGGCGATCGAAGATAAATTAGTAACATAGTGACCAACCTGCCGACGAAATTTTCCAGCACGGAGCTTTTTCCGGCGCTCTGTCCTCCAACCACGGCTATCTGCGGCAGATCCAAGTTACAACTTTGGCCAATGGTACTGAAAGCATCTTGGAGTTTATTGATCAGGGGGATCAAATCCTCCATCCCCCGGTTGCCCATGGTTTCTGACCGTCTCTCAGCGCGCAGGAACGGGCTCGCGGCAGCAAGGCACTCGGGCTACTTTCAAGTGTTCGATTTCCACCCTTCAAACACTTCCAGATCAGTCTGTCAAAGGCAAATAACTCGCAAGACACTCGCTGACAGGCAGAGGACGCGTATTACGGCGCATTCATTAATATCCGTGTGCTGATCTGAGGATCAATCGTTCGTAAACTCACAAAACAAAACTTCTCGTTATCATCCGGTCAGGCGACATCCGACCTCCACCAGTGACGCGAGCCCCGCCTCCTGTCAACCGATGTCGTGAAATCCGATTGGTCCGACAGAACGCTTCCTGGTGTGTTCTGTCTTTCGATTGGTTCGATCTTCGTTTCGGTCTTTAGCGACCGAGGAGTTCTATTGGACGGCTCACGTGTCAATTTAGTTTCAATAAAAATACTTGGGAAGTAGAGACAACGTAGAATATATACAATAAAAACAATAATTCTAATTTTAATAAAGTGTGCATATTTAATTACTGCATCACCCTGAATAAATTAAACCTATTTCCATTAAAAAAAATTGAATCCTATTCTCTACGTATTAGAACATAGACATTGTTTGGGTTCTCCAGTTTGTTATACTGTATATAAACTAGAAGAAGAAAGTGAATTTCTTTTCACTTTCCACAAAAGAAAGCAGAATTCACGCTATCAATGCAGCATTACAGCTATTTAAAATGCTGAACTGGTTTCAGACATACGGAGAGACTTTTGAGTATTGCTTGTGACGGGAAGTCCGACTCATTTCCACGAATCGGTTCTTTTAAACACGTCAAATGGTTCAAACAACCATTCAGTGATTCTTTTACAACATTACTTGGTCCCTGACATCTCGACGTCACTTATTCTATTCTAAAACGTTTCAAATAAAGTAATGTGTAAGAACATGTGCTGTTTATAACGCATTTACAGTTTTTTATTCATTAAGTTTTATTAACAACGTGTTTGTGGTCATTTCTTGCAGCCACGATTCAGCTTATAAAACAAACTAACAATTTGAAATATACACGTCTGATACATTCACATATAAATCTGAAATCTATAATATGAATACATGCGTTTATGAAAGAGATGGTTTACTGTTCAGTGAGTCAGACTCGAGAACCGTTTGGACCTATTCGTGAATTGTTCAGGGCTGCGTTTATCAAAAGCATCGTGAGATACAGGTGCATCTCAATAAATTAGAATGTCGTGGAAAAGTTCATTTATTTCAGTAATTCTGATCGTAGAGGCCGTTGGTGGCAATGGATCTACGATCTACGTAGGCTTTCTATGCTTTTGGGAGACGCAGCCCAGAGTGGTTTTTGTACTAGTTCATCCTGTTCCTCAAAAAGATCCGACTCAAATGAACAATTCACAAGTGAATCAGACAACGCTATTCAAAATGGCTGCGCCCATACCCGGCAGCACACGAGTGTGAAGGCAGTATGGCATCAGTAAAGGCTGTATCCTCTGCTGCTCCTCTCGCTCTTCGTATCGTGGCGGAGTGTCCCGTGAGTAAGGCGAGAGCCTGCACTCTTACTCTCTCCCACTGCGCTGTCAGCACCCCGGTGTTCATGCCTGTGGGCACTCAGGGCACCCTGAAAGGCATCACTGTAGACCAGCTGGAAGATCTGGACTGTCAGATATGCCTGGGAAACACGTATCATCTGGGCATGAGGCCGGTATGTGAGAAGAAATTGTCAGAGTGTTTCATCACAATCAATGCCCTGTATATTTTAAACTTGTTTAACTGTTATTGTATGTGTCCTAACAGGGTCCCGAGTTAATAGAGAAAGCCAATGGATTACATGGATTTATGAAGTGGAGTAGAAATCTCTTAACGGTAATTATTATTATTTTCAAACTATTCCCAAACACCAGAAGAACTAGTAAGAGTAAAACGTAGAATACCATGATTCGTTTTGTTCACGTTATTCCAATGCAGATTTTGCAGTGTTGGTCTGATGGATAGAGTAGACTGGAGAAGTTATGGAAATGAGTAGAGTCTCCTTTTTTTGTGAATATAATCAAGCCAACATGAAACATCAGTCCATTTAAAGTTTAATTGGAAACATTTGCATACTACTACTACTAAAAAAATTAATCTGTCTCAGCAATTTCTATAAAATTATTAAAAAAAAAACATTTTGATGTGATGAAGGAAAGAATACAATTTATAAATGTATATATATATTATTTATAAAATTCTTCTTGTATTTTTTTTAATCAACATGATTCAAAATATTCAAACATGTTATGTCAAAAGTAATCTAAAAGTAGTCAGAATACATTACCTAATATGTGAAATCTAGTAGATTAGGTTACTAACTAAAATTCCCATCATGTAAACTGTAATCCGTAAAAGACTAGTTTATAAGTAATATACCCAGTACCATTTATATTGTCCAGGAATTTCAAGAACTGCATCTTATTCAATATAAACAATATTTATGGAGGAGGATGAAGAGAGGCGATTGCAGTTTATAAGTTGAGTTGATGTGCATTTTAATTTAGATTATCGTTTGGTTATTTTAATATATTAATAATAATTTATTTCTTTGAGTACTTATAAATCATCCCACTGGCTGAGGCCCACTGGTTGAAAACCACTTCTGTTTACTTTTATGAATGAATAATTTTGTCTTGCTCATCGAAATCCCTAATTTCTGTGTTTTGCCCGTGTTTCTTTTAACAGGACAGTGGCGGGTTTCAGATGGTGTCTCTAGTGGAGCTGTCAGAGGTGACGGAGGAGGGCGTCACGTTCCGTTCCCCTTACGATGGAAAGGAAATCCTGCTCACTCCTGAGCAATCCATTGCCATACAGAACAGCCTGGGTATGAATAATGTTACAGATCATCATCTCTTAACCAGAACATTCAACAAATGCTTATTGAATCTCTGTGACTCATGGCAATGTGTGCAGGTTCAGACATCATGATGCAGCTGGATGACGTGGTCAGCAGTACGGTGAAAGGGCCGCGGGTGGAGGAGGCCATGCACCGCTCCGTGCGCTGGCTAGACCGCTGCATCGCAGGAAATAAGAATCCAGATCGACAGAACCTGTTTGCCATTATTCAAGGGGGGCTTGATGCCAAACTGCGCAAGGCCTGTTTAGATGGTAAGCGCTGAGTGACTGGACATCAAAAGTGTGTCTGTTATGATTTTGTTATGATTCTGTTATGATGATGTCTGAACCTGCACGACCGGGGAAGTCGTGGCCTAATGGTTAGACAGTTGGACTCGTAACCCAAAGGTAGTGGGTTCGAGTCTCGTACCGGCAGGGATTGTCGGTGGGGGGAGTGAATGTACAGCGCTCTCTCCCACCTTCAATACCACGACTGAGGTGCCCTTGAGCAAGGCACCGAACCCCCAACTGCTCCCCGGGCGCCGCAGCATAAATGGCTGCCCACTGCTCCGGGTGTGTGTTCACAGTGTGTGTGTGTTCACTGCTGTGTGTGTGCACTTTGGATGGGATAAATGCAGAGCACTAATTCCTAGTATGGGTCAACATACTTGGCCACATGTCACTTCGCTTCGCTTCATGAAGTGGCATTAGTGTGACTACACATTCTAAAAGCCTATTCAAATTGCATTAACATAAACTACCGTTCAAAGGTTCCGGGTCAGTACGATTTTTTATTTTTTTTTTGAAAGAAATTAATACTTTTATTTAGCAGGGACACATTCGATTGATCAAAAGTGAGTGTAAATACATTTATAATGTTACAAAATATTTACATTTCAAGTTCGTTTAAACTTGCTATTCATCAAAGAATCTTGAAAGAAATGTATCATGGTTTCCAGAAAAAAATATTAAGCCACAAAACTGTTCAATGTGGATAATAATAAGATTTTATAAGATTATATTATCTGATAAGAAGGTTTTTTTTATTATTATTGAGCAGCACATCAGCATATTAGAATGATTTCTGAAGGATCATGTGACCCTGAAGATTGGAGTAATTATACAGTCACAGTAATAAATTACATTAAAATTTATTAGTTATTTTAAATTGTAATATTTCACAAAATGATTGTTTTTACTGTATTTTTGATCAAATAAACGCAGCCTCGGTGAGCATAAGAGACTTCTTTCAAAAACATTAAAACATTTTTACTGACCCCAAACTTTTGAACTTAGTCACACTTCTGAATATTTTCTACATTTCCGACAAAATACCAAACCAAGCATAATCTGTAAAAAAAAAAAAGATGCTTCTCAGAACTAACTTTAATTTACTGAAACATTTTTGCATTGACTTTTGTATGTAGTACATATGAAGAGTTCATTTGCAAAAACCGATAACTTTTTTTTTTTTCAGAAATCACGTTTTTATTGCGCATTCCAAGTAATATCAGGCACACAAGTTTTTAAAGGGGTCCTATTATGCTTTTCACGTTTTCCAACTTTAGTTAGTCTGTAATGTTGCTGTTTGAGCATAAAAAATATCTGCAAAGTTGCAAAGCTCAAAGTCCACTTCAAAAGGAGATATTTTATTTAACAGAAATCACTTTTCAAAAACTACAACGCTCTCAGCTAGCACGTCTTTTCAAAGTGAAAGTAGCCTTGTCACCTGACCTGAATACAGCGCGCTGATTCGCTAAAATGGGTTTATCGGCTGTTCAAAAACAACAAGGCCGCTTGTCGGCTTCTGCAGTAAAACGCGAACTCGCGATGCTTTGAAAGTGGAAAAAAAACGGCTTTTTTGACAAAACGTGTTTAGGGTTCAGGTCGCGCTATATGTGGAGAATAATGCACAGCAATCAGCTCATTTTTTTTTTAAGTAGCGTTTATTGTTTTTTGCAAATTAACTCTTTATGTAGTAATAACAAATGACAAACAGAGTGGGATCTATATACAATGAATAAACTCCATGAAGTTAGCCCCAATGTTGGAAAAAAATAAATTTCTATCAGTTTTCCAACCAATGGGACCAGATTGTTTATACCTGCTGTAGAATAGGTCATTCCAGGATGGCACACAAGTTTTTAAAGTCATTTTATGGTTTAGGTCACGTTGCGGCTATGGTAAGGGGCATGACATTTCCCAACCAAGCGCCGAGTGCTGCCAATCACAGCACACACTGGCCCAGCTAACCAATCACAACACACACTGGCCCAGCTGACCAATCACAGCACATTTCGTATTTCAGAAGGCAGGCCTTCATTTGGTACAGGAACTATTCGAGCCATTCATGCCAGACTGGGGAGAGAGGTGTTGTAATAATGTGAAATATGTGAAAAATAATG